GAGGGAAAAAATATAGAAACATTGAGGCATGGTCTGGGGAAATGTGAAAATAATCAGCAGCTCCTGAAAACACAAAAAAAAAATATTAGTCAGAAAAAGTATTTGAAGCAACCTTTCATCTGGTAAGACCATTGTAGGTGGTGGATACATTTGGTGGAACTTCCTTTTAGCTGAACTCAAAAATTAGCTACAATATTGGTGTTCTTACAATGCAACAAATGTCATCCGTGATTTTAAAATGCAGAACATTTTTGTACTTCTTCATTTATTTTAAGTGATATAACAAGTCCACCTACCTTTACACCTTTTCCTCCTTCACAATTATACTTTTCTTCTACGGCTTTTAAGCCCTGCTTGAATTTTGCATGTCCCCCAAGCGTGCGGAATGTTCCTTCAGCCAAAGCTCTCTCAAAGTCAGCAGAGTGCTTCTTAATAAGAGCCGTGCACACCTCCCGAGACTTCGCCTCATTCATAGTATTAAACTCTATTCTCATTCTCTGGACCTTTTCCTGATAGAATTGAAATTCAAAAACATTAGTTCCCTCTGTCAAGCATTTTTAAACAGTTTTAAAATAAAGTTTAGCTCTTTACACTGCCTGCCCTAACCCTAAAAGAAATATAACGGCAATGGTTACCTTCTAAAAAATAACATCTCTTCTCAGGGTACTGGTACCAGTTTTTTGGGACAGAACCATGGCGGAAGAGGGATCAGTGTTTGGGCAAGCTGATCCCACCCCCCTGCAGTGGTTTGCTTCTCGATCATCTCCTCGCAGGGATTCCCCCTCCCCGCTCCGATCCTCCAGCACTGACTGACTGGCGGTACTGACGGGGGAAGGGGCGGGTACAGCTGGCTCTGCCTCATGCAGCTGGGTGGATCTCAACAGTAATGTCAGGATCTGTCCTTGCTCCGGCAGTCTCAGTATAGCACGAGCTGTAGCTTGCGGTATACTTTTTTTACAGGGTATTTACCATGCAAAATTATAAAAAATGTCCAGAAGAACTTTTACATAAGATCAAAACTCACCAAAAATTCTTTAAGGAATTTCTGATCTTTATCCTTAATCGATCTTTTCAGGAATACCTTCCGAGCTTCATCTTCAAACCGACTGCTCAGATCCAGGAATTGTTTGAGAGTTTCAGTGGGCATCACAACTGTCCTCATCCTCTTCTCATAATGCTTTGTTGCTTCCTGAATGGCAATTTTGTTCTCCTTCTCAGCCAAGGAAACCACCGTCTCCTCCAAGCAGGCAACATTAGAGGAGTTTAGAGATTCAGTGTAAAGTTTTGCCAACTCACCCAATCCTGAGGAAATTAGAAAAATTGTCCAAGAATAAATAGAAAACGAATAAAACCACCACATCTAAGGACTGGTAAGTTTCAATATGTGACATTTTTTGTTTTGGCATTTAGTATATTTGATTAAAGCTATACAACATTAGATGAACTCACGGTATCCAGTGACGTCAACTGTGATGTCCACTCTCTTAACCTCGGCGTTCTTGAAAATGTATTCACAGAAAAGGGCGCTCTGATACCCCAAGGTTCCCCAAGCATTAGCATTCTGTAACGGTAGCATTCAAGGTTTTTCTTTTCAGCTGGATTCACAGAATCATAGAATTGGAACGGTGTTAAATTCAGACCTAATTTTATGAATTCCAATATCCTGAACCAAATCTGAGTTTCACTGTTATTTTTGGTAGTTTGGATTTCCAAAAGGTTTCTAGTAGAGAAGGACCACAAGCTGCTGCAAAAGCTGTTTCTGTCTGATATCTTCTTCAGCTATTCCGTGAGTACACCTAGATTGACTGCCAGTGACCACCCAACTCCCAACCTTCTAATTTAGTATCACTGCAAGCAGCTCCGGCTGTATTTTGGCCTCATCGTGTCATCAGGCCGAGCTGCCATGAGCTTCCCAAACCCTTCTGTACAATTTTGCATCATTTGCTACTCTGCATTACATACTTGTTTGGAGCCTTCATCAGATTCCTATCAATTAGAGTGGGATTTCTGGTTCAGAAATTAAACATTTCCGAGGTTCATGAAGTTTTAAAAAGTTCAGCTGAACCACAACTGATCAACCCTTAAAAAATGTGCTCATCTCCAGTGGTGGTCATGCCTTTCTGGACTCAGAAAGCAGGAAGGGGGTCAAACCCCTTTAATGTTTCTCATAAATATGTGGGAAATACCAGGAAATTCCTTTGTTTCTTGGTAATAAACAGAGCACAGGCTCATTATCTCCTAGCTTTCTATGTAATTATTATTATTATTACATAGTATTTCATATAGCGCCAACAGTTTGCGCAGCGCTTTACAATGTAAGGAAGACATTGCAATCACAATACAATTCAAGACAAGATGGTAAGGAGGGTCCTGCCCCTGAGGGCTTACTATCTGAAAGAGGAGGTAGCTGCGTGGGGATGAATTGTTTGAGAATGTGATGGTTCAGTGGTTAGGTTGAGGTGGGATAGGCTTCCCTGAAGAGATGAGTCTTAAGGGATCGCCTAAAGACAGCCAAGGTGGGAGATAGATGGACAGGTTGGGGTAAAGAGTTCCAGAGGATGGGAGAGACTCTAGAGAAGTCCTGGAGGCGAGTATGGGAGGAGTTGACTAGGGAGCTGGAAAGCAGGAGGTCTAGGGAAGAGCGGAGTGGACAGTTAGGGTGATATTTTGAGACAAGGTAATGACTACAATACAATGATTCAAGTTACTTGGTTCAGTTTGCAGACAATTCACATACATACGTGTTTTAAGCTTTAAGGCGTTCTCCAGGTAACCATCCGCTGAGACCGTCTTCCCATCAATCTCCAGTTCCAGATTAAAATCTCTCACTGCCCAAACAAAGATGGGGAAGTATGTGGAAAATGTTGCTTGCTCGTCCGGAATGCTGCCAGTTCTCACCTTGATTAATTCCGTGATTTCCCCTACAAATCTTGTAAATGTTTATAAGGACATATAACATCTTGCTTTCCAGTCACCCAGTTAGAGATTACATTTGCATTATCTCTGGGAGAGGGGAAAATTAACAGAAAACACCCCCAATTAACTAATCTAGAAGTTTAATTAAGAAACTGACTTACCTGAAGCCACAGTCACATGACATTCTGGGCCCCAAGTCTTCTTTTGTCTAGACTCTAGTCTATTCTAATACTATCCTTAATCCCTGGCAAGGGGGATACCTTCTTTTGGTTGATAAAGGTGTCCATTAGTGGGGTACTCACAGGGCCCTGTAGACTTCCAGCAGCGCAATCGACACTTCCAGTGGCACTGTCAGGAGCCGGATCTGAACCCAGGGCCTCTGCTGTGGCTGGTGGTGATTCTACCTGCTGAGTCACCTTGGATAGCACCTTGCCTGATCCCCTGTGTAATCCTCAGGTAAGCCTAGTTTCTGCTGAACTCTGAACTCCTTGCTCCTCCCTTGAACTTCCTATTTAAGCCACGCCTCTGCACTTCCTGCTTCCTGCTTGCCAGATTATTGTTATCCTGCCAATATCTTGCTTCCTTGCTCCTCATGTGATACAATCCGCTCATACTGCTACCCGTGTACCGACCTTTGGCTGCTGATTCACCGACTACTCTCATCGTCTTCCACTTCATACCGGATACCTTTGGCTACTGACGTCAGCTTCATCTCTGACTACGCTTCTGCCTGCTCCTATACTTCTACCGTCTGCTTGTGTACCGATCTCGGCCTGTTTGACTACGATTTTGCCTGCTGTTTCAGCTACTGGACTCCGAGCCTGATCCCGATCGTGACAAGCACATGACATCTTGACGAGGGGTAGTAACAAGCCTGGTCAGAGGATCAGGACTCCAGGATCATTTGATAGCTGTCAGAGATAGACTAAGTGACATTTTTCTTCTTGTACCTTGTTATAAAAGGATACTTTAATTTGTCTAGGGCATCCTGATTGATGGTGCCGAGGCTATTATACACCAAGGCACTGCTTAGTAGGATTGCAAGGGTGAAGATCTTGCTGTCGTTTTTTTTATCCCCCTTTAAAAAAGAAAAAGAACATAAAAAAATGGAAACAAAAATTTACTATTGGTTATTTTGTTGTACTTTTTGATTAATTTACAACTGTGTCCCATTCATTTTTTAATAGAAGTTCAGGTTTTGCACACAACTACAATTATTTTTCCTATTACATCTTTTAAAAAATAGCATAAAAAAGCTAAAGTCCCGTTTTACTTACCCTAGTACACGGTCACTTGATATGTCGGGTTCTGAGTCAATCTTCTTCTCTACAGAGGAGGAGCATGCTGGCAGATTGTCAGAAGAACAATCCGGACATCAGTAACAACCGTAACCAACATGCAACACACAGCTCAGTGCTGATGTCAATGGATCACGGCCATGGCGACATGCTAACCAAACAAAGATCCTTGTTTGGAGGAGGAGGAGGAGGAATGAGGAGAGAGCTTATTTTGCACAGATAAAACCATGCAGTGAAATATTTAGCACAGCTTGCAATAATGCTGACTGCTATTTTTGGTGGTGACTCACCCAGGTCTAGCTGGCTGGGCACACACACTTGCATAAATGAACAGGAAGCCTCTATACTGAGTGTCCCTGTTTATTCATAACTTGAGGACAGAGTATGTTTACTAGATCCACAATTATGAATGAACAGAAGGTGATGTAGATCACTTCCTATTCATTCATAATTGAGGATATAGTAACCATACCATGTCCTCAATTATATACAATTACTCAGCGATCACAGATCGCTGAGTGTTTGCATTGGCTCTCCTTTCTGACTCACTGTCACAGGAGGTTGAGCCAGTGGTGTAGGGAGGAAAGCTCAGGCTCCTGTGACAGCGCTGTCTCCACCCCCACACCGCTCTGCTGGACTGTGACCGGAAGCTGAGTGGTGTGGGAGGAGAGACGCTGGGTGCTCACAGTGCTCTCCTTCCGGGGCGCTCGGCCGGCTGTCACACTTTCTCTCCTCCCCTGCTGGGAGGAAAGCAGGGATGCGCCGCTGTATCGGCAGAAAGATTTAGCCAAAAAGTGCCATTTTAGGCCGATATTTTTCGGCGGCCGATATATCAGTGCATCCCTACTTAAATGTGTTGAGAAATTCTCTGAACTTTGCACATGTGTTCATAACTGGTTGGACAGAGTGGTAAAGGAGAACAAAAGACAATAAATAACACATTTCATCTTCACAAACCATAAAACTGAATATTCCATTTTATTGATCAATATGGAAAATACAAAATACCAGACATTTAAATTTCGTTGTGTTCCCAATGGATAATCATACGAATATTGTTACATTCGGACATTCAGATGCCTCTTAATTTGAACGTGAACGAATCCAAATGTTCATTTAACCAAAATTCGGGTTCATCTGAATTTAATTCAAACTAAAACTAAATCACACATGTGACTGTTCTCTGGCCAATCAGATGTGTTTTTTGGCTGTTGGGGGTTGCATTACAGACACGGTCATGTGACTTTATGTGGGTCACATGTCTACAAAATACCCAAAAAAGGCTTCTGGGCAATATGAAACCAGTATAATTAGTAAAGTCTCATTTTAACATTCTCACCTTCTCTACGTCCCCCAGACCTTCTGTGTCCAAGAGAACCAGAGCATGATCCTTATACATCCGGACATCAGTAACAACCGTAACCAACATGCAACACACAGCTCAGTGCTGATGTCAATGGATCACGGCCATGGCGACATGCTAACCAAACAAAGATCCTTGTTTGGAGGAGGAGGAGGAGGAATGAGGAGAGAGCTTATTTTGCACAGATAAAACCATGCAATGAAATATTTAGCACAGCTTGCAATAATGCTGACTGCTATTTTTGGTGGTGACTCACCCAGGTCTAGCTGGCTGGGCACACACACTTGCATAAATGAACAGGAAGCCTCTATACTGAGTGTCCCTGTTTATTCATAACTTGAGGACAGAGTATGTTTACTAGATCCACAATTATGAATGAACAGAAGGTGATGTAGATCACTTCCTATTCATTCATAATTGAGGATATAGTAACCATACCATGTCCTCAATTATATACAATTACTCAGCGATCACAGATCGCTGAGTGTTTGCATTGGCTCTCCTTTCTGACTCACTGTCACAGGAGGTTGAGCCAGTGGTGTAGGGAGGAAAGCTCAGGCTCCTGTGACAGCGCTGTCTCCCC